GACATTCCTTAATCTTCATTTACTCTCCATCCCACCTCAAGGAAGCAGTCACCAAAGTGTGTCCTTTATAGATCATCAAGATTCCTTGACTTGAACGTGGATTTAAATAACTACACTGAAGATAGGGTGATATTGTTAAGTGATCATTGTAATATTTGTTTAAAGGGTAAGGCTTGGTTCAGGATTTTTGGTATAGATGTCAAAAGGCTTCCAAAAAGACAGAAAGAGTAGGTTAGCACTGAATGATAAGGGTAGGTGGGGGCATAGACCTTGGAGCAGTGAAGGAGAGTGGGTGAAAATCACTAAAAGACATCAAGGACAAGGAGACTGGTTAAATCTGGTCTAATGCATATTACAGACAGAACCCAGACATGAAGCCTTGTTGGAAAATGGACTCAGGACCCTGTCCAAAGTTTGGTCAAGTTTTTTTGTCAACATAATCAGCACTGTAGCACTGTCCTCCTGTTGTTCATCGATTTGCTCGAGCAGGCACCAGTAATGTCTCCATTGTGAGACTTGTTGTTACTGTTTTTGGCATATTGAATATGCCACAGGGAGCTTGCCAGGCTCTGCCGTGCAGGCAAGATACTCTCGATAGCTTGCCAGGCTCTCATAGAGGGATGGAGGAATCAAACATGGGTTGGCCGTGTGCAAGGCAAACACCCTACCCGCTGTGCTATTGCTCCAGCCCGACATAATCAGAATCAAAAATAACTTTTTTTTACAAATACTAATGGGCTGGAGCAATAGCACAGTGGGTGGGTAAGGCGTTGCCTCCGCCCCTCTCAGAGAGCCCAGCAAGCTACCGAGAGTATCTCGCCTGCATGGCAGAGCCAGGCAAGCTCCCTGTGGTGTATTCAATATGCCAAACACAGTAACAAGTCTAAATGTTACTGGGCCCTCTTGAGCAAATCGATGAAAAACAGGACAGTGACAGGTATTAATACTGAAATATTAATATTGAGATGCATTCCAAAGACAACCACCATAAAGATAATGCTAGATCTTGTTAGTAATCTAGTGGATTATTCGTGTTGGTATTCAGGTCTTAAGTATTTTTGATTAATGATAAACGCACAAATCAGTTGAGTATTCTCAACTGCCATCCGCTCTTCTATGTTTTTCTTATGAACCACCTCATTTGACTCCTCACCACCGTCATTATGAGGTAAGTCTCATATCTCCAAGGTTATAATTTTTTAATTTTTGGTTTATTTTTTGACCACATCTAGTGATGCTCAGAACTTTCTCCTGGCTCTGTACTGTTGTGGGGCGTGGGGGGGGGGGAAATGGGTTGTGGGGGATCTAACCTGGCTTTGTACTTTGGCAGGGTTTAGGGAGACCATATGAGGTGCCAAGGATCTAACTGGGATAGACTGCATGCAAGTCAAACACCCTGCTCACTGTACTGTCTTTCTGGCCTCTCAAGTTTCCATTTAAGGAAACAGACTCAAAGTAAGAATCTTCCAAATTACAATTAATTGATAATAGAATCGAATTCTGCTGGGCAGGAACATGAAGACTACAATTTTAACCATTAGACAGTTCTGCCAAACAAGCATTTCTTAGAATATTTAAAATTTTGGGCCAGGGATGTGGTTCAAATGGTAGAGCACATTCCTTGCACGTGTGAGACCTGGATTTGATACGTGGCACCACATGTGTAAGTATAATCAGCATGCATATCTAGGGAGTCAGGGTGGGAGAGACTAAGAGATAGTACAGAAAGTAGGGTGCTTATCTTGAATGCAGTCGACCTGTATTTGATCCTCAGCACCCAATATGATTCTCTGAGCACTGCCAGAAGTTATCCCTGAGTGCAGAACCAGAAGTAAGCCCTGAGCACCACTGGGTGTGCCTCCCCCTAACAGACAAACAAAAACTAAAAACTACATTGGGTATCTGGGTTGGTGGTAGTGGGGTGTTTGTTGTTAGGGATTTGGGTGATAAGCAGTGGTGCTCAGTGGGGCTCTGTATTCAGGAGTGACCCCTGGTGAGGCTATACCGGATAGTGGGAATTTGAACCGAGGAGAGAGAGAAGCAAAGCAAGTGACTTCACCTCTGTACTATCTCCAACCTTAGAGCTCTAAAATCCTGCAGGCAGGACTGTGGGTATAAACTGTAAGGTGCTTGCCTTGCACATGGCTGACCTGGGTTTAATCCCCGGTTACCCCATTTGTTCCCCCAAGCCTCACCAGGAGTGATTCCTTGTCTTAAAACCAGCAGACTGGATTGGATCCCCGGCATCCCATATTGTCCCCTGAATCTGCCAGGAGTTCCTTCCCCCTGAGCACCTCCAAAAACAAAAGCAACAGGGGGTATGATGCTGCCAGCAAGTCAATCTGTACCTGTGAGGTGAGTGCATCAGCAGCCTGGTGGTGCCTTTAGACTTCCAGATACCCCCAAATTGCTGCTGTGCCTTTGGCCAGACCCCAAAAACGTGGGGCAAAGTTTACCAAGAAAGTAAACGGCCAAAAGTTAGGTATGTGGGAAACACACCCACAAACCACCTCCGGCTCACTATATAATTGGAAGCAAGGCCTCTCTGGTTCCTGATTGAACTGCTTAACGGCCATGATCCCAGAGACTCAGAAACAAATCTCGAAACCCAGCAGCTTTTGGCAGAAATGCATCCGGTCCCTGCAGTAGGTTACCGGTGCTGGGCCAAACCAGGTGGGAATAGGTTTCATGCCCGTAGGCCGCCATCCTCCAGAGGCCACTGGACAGTCAGGTTTGGGCCCGCGGTGATGAGACACACACGGCCTCACAGGATGGGGGTGGAGCCGGTTCTGTCCTCCCCACCCCAACGGCACCCCAAGTCATCACCCACGAACAGCCTCTCTGGCTCCTGATCAAGCTGTTTAATGGCCACCATCCCAGAGACTCAGAAACAAATCTCGAAACCCAGTGGCTTTTGGCAGAAATGTTTCTGGACCCTGCAGTAGGTTACTGTCGCTGGGCCACCCCAGGGGGGAAAGGGTGCTGTCCCTCCGTCTGCTTCCTCCTGGCAGCTTGGTGGCCATCATCCTTCAGAGGCCACTGGATAGTCAGGTTTGGGCATGCAGTGATGAGACACGCAGGGCCTCACGGGATGGGGGTGGAGCCGGTTCTGTCCTCCCCACCCCGAGACCCCAAGTCACCACCCACGAACGGCCTCTCTGGCTCCTGATCAAGCTGTTTAATGATCCCAGAGACTCAGAAACAAATCTCGAAACCCAGTGGCTTTTGGCAGAAATGTGTTCGGACCCTGCAGTAGGTTACTGTCACTGGGCCACCCCAGGGGTAAAAGGTGCTCTCCCTCCACCTGCTTCCCTTTGGTGGCTCAGTGGCTACCATCCTCCAGAGGCCACTGGACAGTCAGGCTTAGGCCCACAGTGACGAAACTTATTGGGCCTCACGGGATGGGGGTGGAGCCAGTCCTGTCCTCCCTACCCCAACAAGACCCCAAGTCATCGCCCACGAATGGCCTCTCTCGCTCCTGATCAAGCTGCTTAACGGCCATGATCTCAGAGACTCAGAAACAAATCTCGAAACCCAGCGGCTTTTGGCAGAATGCGTCCAGACCACGCAGTAGGTTACTGTCGCCGGGCCACCCCAGGGGGGAAAGGGTGTTATCCTTCCTCCTGCTTCCCCCCTGGAGGCTCGGTGGCCATCATCCTTCAGAGGCCATTGGACAGTCAGGTTTGGGCCTACAGTGATGAGACATTTTGGGCCTCACAGGATGGGGGTGGAGCCCGTCCTGTCCGCCCCACCCCGAGACCCCAAGTCACCACCCACGAACGGCCTTTCTGACTCCTGATCAAGCTCCTTAATGGCCATGATCAGACTCAGGAGCAAATCTCGGAACCCAGCAGGTTTTGGCAGAAATCCATCCAGATTTGTGTTAAAATTTCTGAATTTCAAAATCGCACAGCTACTACTGTAGCCACGTGACATCATATGTTATTCATAACCAGCAATAGAAAACATTGTCTACTGTTGCCTTTTCAGCAGATCTGAGTGTTGGGGTAAAATCTCAAGTAATAATGGTGGGTCTGTAGAAAATATTGAGTGTGATCAAAGTAGAGAGAGAGTAATGTGGAAATCATCTGTCCCACAGGTAGGGGGAGGGTGTGGGAGGGGGGTATACTGGGGTTGTTGGGGTTGGAGAATGGGCACTGGTGAAGGTACGGGTGTTTCATTGTATGCCCGAGATTTAGACCCGAAAGCTTTGTAAACTGCTCTCACTATGATTCAATAAATAAAATTATAAAAAATAATAAAAAAAATAAGGTGGAGTTCATGCACAATTCAATCATCTAATCAGTGGCTGAATAAATAGCAGTACTCTTACATAAAAACAAACAAAAAAAACAACACAAAAATATTGTAAACCACATTGAGTTCCAATTTCAACAAATTCTGCCAGAGCCTTGGAAATAAATTAATTTATAATAATAAATTATAGATTTTTTAGGGGCCCAGTATGGTCCAGTGGTTGAGCGGCTTTGCACTCCTAGCACCAACACATACGGCCCTTGGCCTCACAACAGGAGGTATATATGATTCCTCCCCCACCCCACCCCATGAGCACCATACCCACGTGTGCGAGTACTACAACCAAGTCCATGCCAACCCCTATTATTGCAACAGCAAAGGGAAAGGGGAGGGAAAATGTTGAGTACAGCGCTAGCTCATCAGTAAAAAACAAAACTGTACCATTAGAGACTTAAGGCACTAATCTGTTACTATGCTATACTCTGATGTAACATCTAGACCTAGAAATAAATCTTAAGAATAAATGAGATGCCACTCTAGTGAAATACAACTATAGAAACAGTTACATCAGAATGTCCCAGATCTTTTATTTATTTTGTATGTGAAGTAGGAGTAATAATCTGAATTTTTTTTAAATTTTGCTTTTTGGGTCACACCTGGCGATGCTCAGGGGTTACTCCTGGCTCTGCACTCTGGAATTACTGCTGGCAATGCTTGGGGGCCATATGTGGATGCTGGGAATCGAACTCTGGTCAGCCACGTGCAAGGCAAATGCCCTACCCACTGTGCTATCGCTCCAGCCCCTACATGTATTTTTAAATGCAATTATACAAAATTGTAGGCCAACAAGGAGATATACATTGGATGCTGCTTCTAGGCAGTGGGTCACCTGGAAGGGATCCTCATGAATGAGTAGACCCATGTGTGTTGTAACAGAGGTTTCCTTATGAAAGAAAATGAAATAATGAAAGCTGCTAATTAAGGGAGAAAATGATACCGCCCAGGTCCTTATACACTGCTACTATTTAACAAGGATCAGTCACCTACTTTTGATCCTGTTAACCACCCTTGAGGTAAGTAGGTTTTAGTTTTCATTCCAATGAGGTATTTTCTTCAGAAACACTGAGAGTCACTAACCAAAGTCTGTTCTTTACTTTGTTTCCACGTACTTGAAAAATGAGTTTTTAAACTGCAGTCTTTCCGACTCAATTTAACTGCAAAAGTTATACAAAACAGTTCTTTTCATAGTCTGTTCTTTATAGAGAAGATAAGAAATTTCTGAAGTCCATTGTGGGATTCTTTTGGGATTCGCTCTGACTAAGCAACATTTTTAACTGAGAAAAATGTTTCTTTGATTTGCTCGAATTCTTTGAGGAACAAATAGGTGTTGACTGTCCTGATGTAGGTGTTCTGAAAAGAAACAGAAAAAAACAATTATACCAACAAATAATGACTTAAAAGTGTTTTTTTGCTTGACTTGGATAATAGCCACTAGAATCATTTCCTACTCTGCAGTGGCTGTACTCAGCAGAGTCCTTCCTGTTTTATATCTCTGTGACATAAAGCAGCACTTGAGAGAGATACATTGGGTGGTTCTGCCAGCCTCTGTCACATTTGAAGGAGGAGGTTACCATGTCATCAGATTTCAAGTGCTGGACTTCAGAAGACAATTTTAAACAAGTACTTTGAAGCACCTGCCTCCTTCATTGCTCAAGACCACTTTTTGTCAACAGCAAAGGGTCCTGGGGCAAGGGGATGGCTCAGTGGCTGGGCGTTTGTTTTGCCAACATGAGGCTTTGGGCTCAGCTTTTAATACAGCCCACATGTACCAAATGTAACCCTGGTAGTTGTGCCATGACATCTGGCTGTCTCCTAGCCAGGCATGTGCCAGCGCCACAAGTTTATTTATTTATTTTTGGATGACCAAGATTTATTTATTTTTAAAAATTTTTATTAGTGAAACACCATGAGGTATACTTGTATAGCACAAAAAAATTTTTTTTGGTGTGCTTGGGTTTGTTACAATGATTGAGTACCCATCCCTTCACCAGTGCCTATTCTCCACCACCACTAATCCCAGTATCACTCCCACCCCCCATCCCCCAAATCCCACCCTGCCTCTGTGGCAGGGCATTCCCTTTTGATCTCTCCTTTTGCAGCACCACAACTTTATTTTTTTATTTTTTTTGCTTTTTGGACCACACCCGGCAATTCACAGGGGTTACTCCTGGCTCTGCACTCAGGAGTTACTCCTGGCGGTGCTCAGGGGACCATATGGGATGCTGGGAATCGAACCCGGGTCAGCCGCGTGCAAGGCAAACGCTCTACCTGCTGTGCTATCTCTCCAGCCCCAGCACCACAACTTTAAAGGAAGCATGACACCCAGGAAGCACTGTGAGTAGCGTGTGCCAGCACCACAAAAGCAGGAATGGTGGCACGGGAGGGGAGGGAAAATGAAAGGTGAAAACCACACAGGTAGGTAGCAACACACTGGATTTTCCCCACGAGAACGTAAGCTCCATGGGTTAGGCTCTGAACTAAGGGTATACTCCAGTACTTTTAAAAACAGTACCAGCACAGAAAAGACCTTCTAAAAATATCCACTGAATAAACTAATTCCCCATCTGGCATGTGTGTATTTATGCCTCATTCTATTTTGTTCCTTCCAATTGTGTCCCCAGTCCCTGGACCCTAATTTGGGATTTGTCAGTCTGATGCCTTTTCTGACTTCTCATCTGTATAAATGTGGATTATCTTTCTGATTCCTGCATATGTCTCAGCAGCAGTCTGCTCTAAATGCCACTGATTTATTTTAAATATACCAACTTCTCTACTCAACAGTGTATTCTACAATGAAACCCTATCATACATACGTAATACTGAAATAAATAAAACTGGACTTGTGCTGGAGAGCTCAATGGGTTGGGTGCACACCCTGGGTCTGATCCCCACTACCGCATGGTTTTCCTACCAGAAGGGAGCCCAGAGCCAGGGTAGCTTCTGAGCACCATCAGGTGAGGCCAAAAACAATATAACTGGACTTGAAATTTTATTTTATTCTGAGGTTTGGGCCACATGCAGCAGTGCTCAGAACTTACTCCTGGCTCTGCACCCTGGGTGACTTCTGGGCTCTGGGAACCATATGGTCAATTCCTGAGCACCGCAGGGGATGACCCAACCCCTGCCCCAACCACCTCCCCAAAAACAAAAGGAGGAAAATAAAAACCAAGCATAGAACAATATGTCAAATTCAGGGAGTCTGTGCTAAACAATGAGAAGAAATGAGTTAACAGGAACAGTTCAAATAAGCTTAACAAACTAAGATACCTGGGGGCTGGAGCAATAGCACAGCAGGTAGGGTGTTTGCTTTGCACATGGCTGACCCGGGTTTGATCCCCAGCATCACATATGGTCCCCTAAGCACCACCAGGGGTAATTGTTGAGTGCAGAGCCAGGAGTAACCCCTGTGCATCACCAGGTGTGACCCAAAAAGCAAAAAACAAAACAACTAACATACCTGAAAACCAAAGCTGGGCTTTTGCCTGTGGAACCCAATATATCAGGGCCTGGCGTCTTCCTCTCTGGAGTCTTGAGGCTGCGTTTACCGACTGGCGTGGCAGGGTTGCTCTTCAGTGCCGACAGAGAACTTCTACTCTTACCATCATATTTAACTGTTCTGTTACATGTTTTACAAGTGACCAACTATCATAAAAGAAGAAACAATCAGGGTTGGTTTCTCAAAATTTAATACAATGAACAACATATTCATTAAGTTCTTCTTTGGAAGGGACTACACTAGGTATTAATGAATCAGAGGCTGTCTTTGGGGATTTCTAATCTAGCAGCGGCATTCTGACTAGATACACACATCTAAAGTAAGGAAACTTTAAAAAACACCTTAGGGCCAGGAGTCACACGTTTGCCTTGAACTCGTATCCCCGGCAACCCATATGGTCCCCCAAACACCCGGATAACCCCTGAGCATCACTGGATGTGACCTAAAAAGCACTCCCCCCGCCATTCTCCCCAAACCCCAACACCTTAAATTAATGGTGCAACACTTTCATCTATTTAAAAGATCAAGTTATGGGACACTGAGATAGTTCAGAGGTTAAGGTACATGCCTTGAGGCCTGCAGACCTCAGTACCTGGCCCCTCAAGCATAGCTGGAAACAGACTGGAGGTACCCTGGCCCCTGCCGGTTGTGGCTCTGGAGATCCCCTGCGAGCCCAGCACTGACAAAATAGGTCCAGTGATCAACAGCATCGAGGGACCAAAGCACCTTAGTACTTTGTTTTGTGTTGTTTTTTTTTTTTTTGGTCACACCCGGTGATACACAGGGGTTACTCCTGGCTCTGCACTCATGAATTACTCCTGGTGGTGCTCAGGGAACCATATGGGATGCTGGGATTTGAACCCGGCTTGGCCGCGTGCAAGGCAAATGCCCTACCCGCTGTGCTATCGCTCCAGCCCCCACCTTAGTACTCTGAACCCTCCCATGGATGCATTGACTGCTTGGCTGAGAATTGGTGGCACAGGACCCAGGCCTTCTGAGTACCCCTTTGGAGATTCACTCCCTGCCCCCCACCCCCTCCAAAATAGCACCAAAGTTTCTACTTTCTCTACGAGAATCCTATCTGAAGTTAATGAAGGAGATTGGGAATCATTCTTTAACATATGAAGGGTGTCTTCATATTAGGAGACAAGTTTGTTTTGGGGCCATATCTGGTGGTGCTCAGGGGGGCATACAATAGCCCGCTGAGCGATCTCTCTGACCCACATTAACCGTCTAACAAACTCTAAGCCTTTTCACTAGAAACTGGCAAAAATCACTACAATTCTGTGACCTCTTTAAAATGTGATTCTATTACTATGGGTCCAAATAGTAATTTACAAAAACACCAAATAAATTCTCACATACTCACACCTCTTCACTGTTAGCTCAAGGGGTACACCTTCTCAAATGAACCTTGAATCAAGAGATTCATCTTTTTAGCAACATTCCTTTCTTTTTTGTACCTGACTCCCAATGTAGAGAAGCCTAGGCCTCAATAAAATTGATGCTTACTTAGCTGAGGTAATTACTTTGATATTGATGAGCAAGTGAAAATAAAGATAAAGATAATTATATTAACAAAGGGTCGTGTAAGCTTTTTTATGCTGTTTTATTGTCAATTTCAGGAAAATGCAGTCACCTGTCCTATACTGTAAATGTGGCAGATCCAAACCAAAATACTAGTTTTAGGTGAGACATAAGCTATCACTAAGTCCAGCATCTGCTAGTACTTAGGCAGCAAACTTATAATGTGTTAGCAGAGGATATACAGATTAAAATGAATTTGATACTGGTCACTATTTAGTAGTAGACTACAAATAACTTGAGTTTTATAGCTTTATCCCATTTTAAATTCCTAACAGTTGTTTGGTGTAAGAGCCTTAAATGTTAAACCAGTGAACATATATGCATTTGCCTTGGTTGGGCATAGCCTTTAGTACCATGAGTAAATCTATTAATATGTAAAGTAGTGTTGGAAGGACCTGATAACTGGGGAAACAGGGATCACCGCACTTCAGTTAAGTCACATCAGTCAGCTCCAGAAATCCTCATATTTGTGAAAATGTACTAACAATGTGATCTGAGAACACGGGAGAGCTCATGATTATTTTGAGGTAATTATGAGAAACAAAAGCAAGCCATACTCTTGAAGAAAAAGGAATGACTCTGTATTCTGAACAATGATACAGCTAGAGGGGCTGGAGTGATAGTCTAGTGGGTAGAGCATTTGCCTTGCATGTGGCTGACCCAACTTCTATCCCCAGCTTTCATTAGATTCCCTGAACATTGCCAGGAGTGATTCCTGAGTACAGAGTGAGGAGTAACCCCTGAGCACTGCTGAGTGTGGGTCAAAAAAAAAAAAAATACTACACTGTCACACCCACAATCTACCTCCGGGTGCCATCTAAGGTGCCATCTAAGCTCATCACTGGCCTTGATCCAGCGAATCCTGGAAGACTGCAGCTCACTGGAGATCTCTCTGGACCCGTATTGGAGCCAATTCCACCAGGTGTCCCAGCTCCACCCACTACAGATGAAAGCCTGGTGGCCATGAGCTTCCAGAAGAAAAACCCAGGTACGTGGGGGTTTAGGGACTAAGACTCCAGGCCACAGGGCGGCAATGGAGACAGGCCGTCCCTCCCCGTCTCCACACCTGCTGGGGGTCCTGGCTGGCATGCCCATGATCTGCCTCCGGGCACCATCTCAGTGCATCCAACGACCTTGATCCAGAGATTCCCAAATGAACCTCAAAATAGGTTAGCTCCCTGGTGGCTGGAGTGATAGTACAGTGGGTGGGGTGTTTGCCTCGGACACAGCTGACCCAGGTTCGATCCCCAGCATCCAATATGGTCCCCTGAGCACCGCTAGGAGTAATTCCTGAGTGCAGAGCTAGGAGTAACCCCTGTGCATCGCCAGATGTGACCCAAAAAGAAAAAAAAAAAAAGGGATTAGCTCCCTACAGAGACGTCTCTGGACCCCAACCATTTACAATTTTAGGATTCCAGAAGCGCACGGCCATGCAACCGCTCCTGATAATTAATAATAAGCAATAGAAAATAAATTAGCATCTGCCCCTGGCCAGGCAGGCTCAAATGGTGGTGGGAAAATTCAAAATAATGGTGGTGGGATTGGTGTTGAAATACTGAATGTAATCAATTCATGCAAACAACCGTATGAAAATAAATTTTTAAAAATATATTAAAAAATACTACAAATTGTAAATATTCAGGCTGATATTTGAGGGGCTGGGAGGACTCTCCCCAGTTCTCTGGGGAGCCACCACTTTGGAGATACTTGACTTGGCTGTGATTTGGGAGCTCAGGACCAGCAAGGTGGTACTGCTTGCATCCACTGATGATGGGGGCGAGGATCTCTTATACACAAGGCATGTGCTCCATCCACTCCTCTGAGCTAACTTCCCAGCCCGAAGCCTTCTTTTTTTTTGGTGGGGAGGCTTCTGGGTTACATTCCAGAACACATGATGAGGAAGCCTTAGCCCCGGTGCTGTCTCTGGTCCCTCAAGCTTATTCTTAACCTCATTTTAAGTTAAAGAAAATTCTGGTTTACTTAAAACATACTGAAGTGACAGCTTACCAGTACACTTTTGGAGTCTTTGTACTTTTTCACAATTTTGGCATCTTTAAAACTGAGTATTTGATTCCTTGCTTCTCGACTCAGAAGTTTCTGTATTCTTGGTGTCAGTCTGGGCTTGGGTTTAAGCCGAACTCGTGAGTTATCGAGAACCAGCAACTGGAAACAGTAGGGACAGGTTTCTTCAAAAGTACCTCTGTCATCTAAGATTACACAAAAGTGAAATAATATCGTTACCTCGAACAGTAAATATTACACTTATGAAAGTGTATCAATAAGAAAAATAAGCATAATGCTGTGGATTATGGGCAAATTCTGCAGTTGGCTCTCATTTCAAGTAACTTACCTGACCCCTGCCCTGGCCTTTCTGCGCTCATGTATGCACTGGCCAGCTACCAATTCACTATCTCAGCGGTAAGGCGTTTGCCTTGCACGCAGCCGACCCGGCAGACCCGAGTTCAATTCCTCTGCCTCTCTCGGAGAGCCCGGCAAGCTACCGAGAGTATCTCGCCCTCATGGCAAAGTCTGGCAAGCTACCCTGATGTATTCCATAAGCCAAAAACAGTAACAATAAGTCTCACAATGTTACTGGGCCCCCTCAGCAAATCCAAGAACAACAGGAGGACAGTGCTACAGTGCTACCACCAAGGAGATACATATAGGGTATTAAGAGCTGCTTTTTTATTTCTATAGGGGAGCTCTAAGCAAATGAAGACTGATAAAACAGTGGGATCAAAAATGCCCTGGACATTATGGAACTGCATAATTTTAATTTCAGGCCAACCTGTAACTCTTCAAAGCTGTACAAAGTATCCTACAAAACCCTGGCAACGGGTTTTCGGCAGCAATACAGCCGGAGAGGAAAGTATGGTATTTGGGAAAAGGTAAAGGTGTGTGTGAAAAAGTGAGCACAGCATCTGGGAGGGGGAGAGACATCCCGTATTTAGTCCAGGACTTTAAAAGGCATATTTCCTATGGCCAGGGGGAGGCTGGCGTGGGTTGGAGTGAAACGCTTTTCCTTCTTCACTGCGATGGGAACTGTGACCTTGGTACTTCTGCGAGGCGCCCATGGGCTACGGAAAGGTCTGTGAGCTCGGACCGGGGAGGTAAACTGCGTGGGGCAAAGTCACCAAGGAAGCGGTTGCAGTTAGAAAAGGGGGCGGAGGGCTGGGTCCCAGGACCCTCCAGCAGGGAGACCCTAGAGAAGGCCGAGTCGCGTGTCACACGCGTCTCAAGGATGATGGGGCGAGGCGCAAACAGGGCACGGGGGTCTGTGCATTGCTCACAACTGCTGGACGCGGCGCGATCCGACCCCAGCCCCGGCGTGAGCTCTCCTACCTTGCGACGAGCTGTAGGCCCAGCTGCAAGAGAGCAGAGAGAGGCGTGAGAGATACAGGAACCGAGCCCGGCGCCCGCCCGGCCGCCCGCCCTCCCGCCCGGCGCGCGCCCGGCAGCTCACAGCAGGTAGCGGGCCTGGCCCGGGCAACTCTCGCGCAGCAGCCGAGCCGCCGCCTCCAGGTATTGCTTCTGCCTCATCCTACAGCCGGAGGAGACTCCGGAAGCCGCTGCTCGGTGTGGCCCACTCCAGAGTCCGGGTCCTGCCTCCCTCCGGAAGCCGGCACCCTCGGACGAAGGGTTCCGGGGCTCCTGGGGCCCGGCGGGCGCGCAGGCGCGTCCTGCCCCACCCGCAAGCCCCCCCCCCCCCCCCCCCCCCCCCGCCCTGTTGCCCGGGTTCTGTCCCCACCCCAGGACCTGATGCTAGCTGCAGTTGCTTGCCCCGCTGGAGGCGGCCAGGTCAGAAGCCAGGCAGTGCAGTGGGCCTCTGCCTTTTGCCGGCCTCCTCCGTAATGCCCCAGGCGGCCTCAGTCCTGTCTCTGTCCCATTGCTTTGAACTTGGTGCGGGCCGGGGATGTGCGGTCTGTGCGGGGGACGCGTGGCCTGTGTCCTCCTCTAAGACTGGCTCCAGCCTGTTATGGACGCGTTTGTTAATTTTTATTAATTTTTAAAAATATTTATTTATTTTTTATTTAATCACTGAGAGATAGACCCTTACAAATTTGTTCATGATTAGGTCATATTTCACGCCTACAGTTTTCCAACACCCATCCCGCCACCAGTGTACATTTCCCCAGCACCAGTGTCCCCAGGTTCCGTCCCATCAGCCCACTGCCTCAAGCCAGCCTCTATAGCAGATACTTCTCTCTTCTCTCTCTCTCTCTCTCTCTCTCTCTCTCTCTCTCTCTCTCTCTCTCTCTCTCTCTCTCCCCCCCCACCCCTCCATTCCTTCTCTCCTTCCCTCCCTCCTTCCTTCCTTTCGGGCATTGTGGTTTACAATACAGATACTGAAAGGTTGTCTATATCTTTTTGTTTACTTTTAACATTCAGCTCTTGTCCAGTGTGATCATTTCTGTTATTGTCAATGACAGTTTTTTAAAAATTTTTGTAAAGTTGCTCACAATAATGGGTTACATTCAATATTTCAACACCAGTCCCACCACCATCACACCTTCCCACCACCATTATTTGAATTTCCCACCACCACTCAAACCTGCCAAACAGGCAGATGCTAGATAATTTATTTGTATTGCCTGCTATGAACAACATAAGATGTCTCTCGCGTTGCTGCTAGCTCCTAGAAATCTAAAATTTTAGATAATTAGGGTCTGGAGAAATCTCTGCAGCTGAGCTGCTCGTTTTCGAGATTCTTTTGTGTGTCTCTGGATCATGGCTGTTAATGAGCTTAAATAGTTGCCACAGGCACTCATGGGTTTGACATCCAGGGTCCCATGGGGGTGGGGAGATGGGAAGGGCCTCCTGGGATAGGGCTGGAGTTTGCCCTCACTAATTCTGAGTACCTGCGCTTTAAATTGGGCTCTGGAATTCCTAGGGGGCAGGTGGAGGGACAACGCCTGGTCCTGTCTGAGGAATCCCGGTGAAATCGGCCTGTCGCAAAGTCCAGAGGCATCTCTGCAGAGATTCTTCTGTGTTCTCTGGATCATGGACATTAATGAGCTTAAATAGTTGCTGGAGGCAGCTCTTGGGACATTCAGGGTCCCATGGGGGCGGGGAGATGGAATGACAGCTTTTTGTTGTTGTTGTTGTTTGTTTGTTTGTTGCTCTTTGGGTCACACCCTGCGATGCTCAGGGGTTACTCCTGGCTCTGCACTCAGGAATTACTCCTGGCGGTGCTCGGGGGACCATATGGGATGCTGGGAATCGAACCTGGGTCAGTCCCGTGCAAGGCAAATGCCCTACCCGCTGTGCTCTGGCTCCAACCCCTGTGTTTTGTTTTGTTTTGTTTGGGAGATGGAATGACAGCTTTTTGTTATTGTTGTTTGTTTGTTTGTTTGTTTGTTGCTTTTTGGGTCACACCCAGCGATGCACAGAGGTTACTCCTGGCTCTGCACTCAGGAATCACCCCTGGCAGTGCTCAGGGGACCATATGGGATGCTGGGAATCGAACCCAGGTTGGCCGCGTGCAAAGCAAACACCCGCTGTGCTAATGCTCCAGCCCTGAAATTTGTACATTTTAAGGTGTCCATTTAGTGCATTTACAATGCTGTGCAACCTTGCCTACTATTTAGTTCAGAATATGTCTGTCACTTGATTGTTTTTGTTTTGGAGCCATATTCTTTACTCCTGCCTCTGCACTCAGGTTCACTCCTGGCGGTGCCCTGAGCACCCTATGGGATGTGGGAGGTGAACCCAGCTTGACTGCAAGGAGGCGAGCACCTTGCCTGCTGTACTAATGTTCTGGTTCCCATTTCTATCACTTTAAAGGAAACCCTATACCTATTTATCACTTGATACCCATTCTCCTTCCTCTTTCTTTGAGCTCTGGCAGTCACTATAAAGGGAAGTGCCCGGAAGGAACCTGGGACAGTCGTGTGCAAGGCAAGTGCCCATACCCAGTGCACTATCTACTTTCTGTCTCAAGGAATTTACTTACTCTGTTCTGTACTTTTCATAGATGGGATTGTCTCTGTGGCCTTTTAACCACCTGATTTCTACTTAATTATGTTTCTGAGGTTCATTTGCCTTACAGAAGGTATCAGCACTTCTTTTTTTTTAATGGTTGAATAATATTGATCACTTGATCACTTGACTTCCTGTTAATGGTCGATTTGTTCGAGCGGGCGCCAATAACATCTCCATTTGTCCCCGTCGCGTGCTAGTGTAGCCCATTGGCGTCTGTTCGTTCTAGGAACACGAAGAGCCTCAAACCAATCATTCATGATCTTGATGAAGAAGTCTGACCATCTGGTAGGTGGGTGGCCACACGGTCTTTTGACATCCCATGGAATCCAGTCAGTAAGGGCTCTAGTCCAGCGGTCGTCTCTAAATCTCATTATGTGACAGCCCATCTGATTTTTGACGCCTTGGCAAATGAGATAGCGTCCCAGATTCTTGATCATCGACGGAGGTCGGAACTCCAGATTCTCTCTCTCATTTGAGTGAAACATGATACTCCAAGCATAGCTCTTTCAGTTCCTCTTTGGGAGACCCAAATAGAGTTCTCATCCTGTTTGCATAGGGCCCAGGTCTCTGAGGCATATGTTAATGCAGGAAGAACAGTGGAATCAAAGACATGTGCCTGGATATGTGGTATATGCTACTTGGTATCTATTTCTCCACTGAAGGGCATTTGCGTTTGGCTACTGTGAGTAGTTCAGCTGTTCCTTGTTTTCTACAGCCTATTCCCAGTGCAGTGCTTTGGGTGCTCTTATTGGTGCTCTTGATCCTCATGGGACCATGTGTAATTGGGGATCGAACCTGGGGCTCCTGTTCTCTGCCATGTTTTCTGTTCTTTTGTATAGAAAAACCATAGAAACTATATAAAGATTTATTATATGACCCAGCATACCACCCCGTCCCAACCCCCTGCCAGGGCCCACACCCAGCACTGCTCAGTGTTTACTCCTGGTGGGGCTCAGGGGACCATATGGGATGCTGGGGGTCAAACCTGGGTTGGCCGCATGGAAGGAAAGCAACCTAGCTGCTGTACTATTGGTCTGTACATGGTCATATGGTACTTTTGTGTTTAAAGAGGTCCAATGATTTCTCTACATCCTGCCACACTCATTCTTTCTTTTTGGGGGGGTGGGTGTTGCAATGCTCACAGTCATATTGCACTGGCTGCTGTGACAGGGATTATACTCCACAGGGATGAGGAGCAGTGCTGGGGATGAAGTCAGGGGCCTTACATGTGCAAGGCAGATGGTCACCACTGGACCGTACCCCTTCCTGGGCACTGCGCTCATGTTTCACAATTTGTATTTATGTTGAATGTTTTTTTTTTCCTCTCATTTTGTTTTTGATTTTGGAGCCAAAGCAAGCAGTGCTCAGAGGTTACTCCTGGCTTTGTTCTCAGGGATCACTCCTGATGGTGATCAGGGGACCTTGTGTACAAAGCAAGCAAGGTGATCTCTTTGACTTTGGTTTTTCTAGGGGCCACTCCCCTAGAGGGAGGAGAATGTTGGGCTGGTTGAACTCAGGGCACTCTGTCACTCAGCCATATGCCTGGTTCTGTTTTTAAATTCTAACCATCCTAGTAAGTATGAAGAGGTGTTTTATTGTGGTTTTGATTTGTATTTCCCAAATGACTAATGATATTTTGCATCTTTTCAAGTGTTGGTTGGCATTTTGTATATCTTCTTTGAAGATATATCTATTTAAGTCCTTTTCTTTTATTAGTTTGCTTGCTTTTTGTTGTTGAGTTAAGAGAGTGTTTTATATAAATATAATACTATATATTTAATATGTAATTCTATACATTTACTGTCCAAATATTATTTATATACTATATGTTATTTATATAATAAAAGTTTTGTATTATATGTCATAATCTGTCTTCTCATTGTTCATTGATTTGCTCGAGCAGGCACCAGTAATGTCTGCATTGTAAGACTTGTTACTGTTTTTGGCATATCAAATATGCCCTGGGGAGGTTGCCAGGCTCTGCCTGGGATACTCTCGGTAGCTTGCCAGGCTCTCTGAGAGGGACGGAGGAATCGAACTCAGGTCAGCCGCATGCCAAGCAAACGCCCTACTGGCTGTGCCATCGCTCCAGTATATATATATATATATATATATATATATATATATATATATGTCATAATATACATGAGTATTATATATTATATGTTGTACAAAATGCTAGACTCTTATTTGTTCATCAAACTATATTAATTTTTTATTATTACAATTTTGGTTGTTTTAATAGTGTTGAAGTTTATGGTATTACCATCAATGTACTCATGACCCTCCACCATTATTTCTTTCTTTTAATTTATTTTTGTTTTGAGACCACACCCAATGATCCGCAGTGGTTACTTCTGGCTCTGCATTTAGAAATTATTCATGGCAGTGCTTGGGAGATCAGATGGGATGCTGGGGATTGAACTGGGGTAGGCCGCATGTAAGGCAAACGCCCTGCCCACTGTACTATCTCTCTCGCCCTCTCTACCGTTATTTCTACGTCATCTCTAGTTTGATCTTTTCTGCTCTTCACCCCATCCTTCAATTTTAATTTGAGAAAGAAGTTACATCAGACAAAAGCTCATAAACAATATGTCCATTAATATCTATAT